CTTGATTCTACACACTGTTGTGATGATTGTTCTAGCTGAGGCTCTTCTAATGGCCATTAAGGGAAAGTTCTCTTTTTACCTTGATTAAACATTATCTCTGAATTATACAGATATACATTCTAACGAATTTACTCTTCATAAATGCTTTATTATTTTTGATGTGTTAGTGAGGTAATATTGAATCTGAGAAAAAGCACAGTATCATATCCATTTATATCTGAATACTAGTGTTTTTTTAAAATCAAAAGCATATAATTTTGAGGATATAATCTACTTTCAATTTCTTACAAATGCTTGATAAAAATAAACTAGCTATGACACAGATAAAGAATAAATATTATTCTTCATTTTTGAAATTTTGATTTATGGCTACCATAAACCAATCTTATTTAAAGAATTTCAAATGTTCAATTCTTCAAAGATGAATTATAGATTGATGAGTACACAGAGGAAAAAAGTCTCTCCGGAAAAATCAAATGCTCCTAGTATAAAAATCTCTGTAACGATTAATTCACTAAGAAATTCTAACATTCACTCTATTAATACATGCCAACTTAATGAAGGAAGTATGACAACTTAGAATTTCTTTCTTCTACTAATGTCAACTCTCTTTATAAAGAAGGCTGACTGGAAAGATCAAATGATTTGGAGACAAATTATACTTACTTCCTATATTACAAAAGCTAAGCTCATTAAACACCCCAGATTCAATTTTTTTAACAAAAACGATTTACATCATAGTGCTGAAGTACATGTGACATCTTTTATGGTGTTTACCACAAGACAAATACCTTTTGGTAGGTATTCCTTGGTACTACTTACCCTTCTCAGAAAACTTTACAATGTACTGCCATAAAAAAGATAGCAGGATTAGGAGTATACTTCATGCATTTATGCTCAAGGCCAAAATTATTTTTTTATATAAGTAAAATAATACAGAATCTATACAAACCCATTTATTTTCCTAGAGCCTCTATCAAACCCAGATTTCATTATGTCAAACCATTGCTCAATGTCAAGACTTTAAATCCCTCGTTAAAAAATTAATTGGGAGTTAATACATACATCACATCATTCCATATTTCAATCATGTCAAGCAGAATTGTACAATTGCTATCACAACCAGTTTCCACTCTTTTTCTTCGACTCCTTGACATCTCCCTTTACCTTGCTTTTTAAAATCTTTTTTTATAGAGCTCCACCTAGGGAAGGACGTACTCTACCATTTATCTATTCCCTTCGTATCCTGCAATGAAAGTCTCAAGGAGGTATTTTTCAGAAAAACAATAACAAAGAGGCTTTTCAAATAATCAAGTGTTCCCTGACTATCAGAAGAGCCACCTCAGGGAGTAATTAAAATCTTGTAACTGAGAACAGAAGAACTGTATACAACTTCCAGTTATGCGTCTTAACGCGGCATTGGTGCCAGGAAACAAAACGTACAGTGCATTTCTTAAAAAACCTATCACTTACTGGGTGAAGGTAAGATATGCTAAGAAAACATCCCAAAAGGGATGCTTCACAATTTCAACCTTCCTACCAAATTAGTAATCAGTGTTTATTTTACATTCTTGAAATAAATAGATGCCAAGTGATGCCTGTAAATTAAATTTTGCTATGTAATTTTAGGACAACCTTAAATAAATTGAGATGGTGCTGAACAAAGATAGTTTCTAAAAGATGACCTTAATGGGTTAAAAGCAGTCTCTTTCTTAATTGAATTTCTATCAGCTGAAAGGTTAAGACAGTTTCTTACCATTAAGACAGTTTTAGAAGAATCACCAGGGTAGAGTAGACTGAATACTCCCAAAACTCCCAAAAGACAAAAGAAAGAAAATGTGGCAAGATTTCGAATATCTAGAAATGACTCTATAAGTGGTATTGTTCCCATTGTCCAATCACAACACAGTTCTGAAGGATTTAACAGGAGCCAAGCATTCACAGGAAGGAGGTAGTTAAAGGTTAGCTGCCTTGTAGGAGTGGGGCTTACTGCAGCTGGATTGTCAAACCTGT